GATTCATACTTTAACCGGGCTTTTATACTAACTGCCTGAGTCCTCTGTCACACTGCCTAAATGACTACTTTTCCTGAATGAATGAATGAAAATTCTAAAATGTATTTTAAGATGAAAGATGGAATGAAAATGTTAAAATGTACTTAAAGACGGAATGAAAATGTTAAAATGTATTTAAAAATGGAATGAAAATTCTAAAATGTATTTAAAGATGGAATGAAAATTCTAAAATGTATTTAAAGATGTAATAGAAATGTTAAAATGTATTTAAAAATGGAATGAAAATTCTAAAATGTACTTAAAGATGAAATGAAAATTCTAAAATGTATTTAAAGATGTAATAGAAATGTTAAAATGTATTTAAAGATGGAATGAAAATGTTAAAATGTATTTAAAGATGGAATGAAAATGTTAAATGTAATAGAAATGTTAAAATGTATTTAAAGATGGAATGAAAATGTTAAAATGTATTTAAAGATGGAATGAAAATGTTAAAATGTATTTAAAGATGGAATGAAAATAAGATTGATCTGAACAGAAACTTCCCTTCATGGTTTCAGCTTCAACTAAACAAGGTAACTTGATTGATATTTACAGGGTGAGTAAATTAACTAGGGATTACTGATGTTTCGGACAAAATTTTTAAAATATTTATTTTGTTCGAATTTTAGGCGTAAATAAATAAAAATTTGATAAAAAAATTAAAAATATTTTCAGAAAATGGAAAAAAATCGCAAAACCAATTTTAAATAAATGAAATTTTTGATAATGTTTTGGGAAAACAATGGAATAATTTTTCAAAAAATTTAATTTAAACAGGAAAAAAGGTTCCGCGAATTTTTTTCAACGTTTCAAAAATATTTAAGAAGTTTATTTTTCTTTACATTTTATTTTATTTTTGCCAGAAATCCAAACAATTTAAAATTTTGAAAATTTTGTCTAAAACATCGTTAATCCCTGTTTTTTACTCTCCCTGTATTATTTTATATATAACACATTAAAGGGACTTAATTCAAAATGCACTGCAAACTTGTTAGAAGGAGAAGGTCAAATTTCTGAGACATAACTGGTAGGACTTTGTGACCTCTTAGCTCCTACAGTTTCTATTTTACGCACAAGTATGAGAACAGCAAATCTATTTGGTTACAATTTTAGTTCTTCTCAATATCTCTTAAATAAAAAGAGTTTTCATTGAGAACATATAAGATTTCAATATTATGTGCATTTTACTATAGTTTGACTTGAATGAGTTTGACTAGAATGATCATTCATTTAAAGAGAAACATGTCTGATAAACACGGAAACCTTTTAATCTCTATTTCAGTCTAACAATGAGTAAAATATAACTGTTTTCTGTTTTTAATCGTGCTAACTTTTGGCCAATTCCAAAAGCCCTTTCAACATAAATTTTAATTCATTTGGGATATTTTTTACTTTCTGGATTAATATTATCATAAGTGAGAACTTAATTGGACACCTTAGACGTCAATAATTTGACTAGTTTGATTAAGCCGAACTCATAGTTCACATCAAAGGTCCACGACGTAAGGCCGCTATGGATTAGGCAAGTTTTCATTCCTTACGATGCATAGTAATCTTCTATGGAACGATTTCAAAAACGCTTGGTAATATAGTGATTCAAAGTAATTTAAGAGTTAAAAACCATCTATAGTGTTCAACACAAAATTGAATTTTAAATATAAATGTTTTTTTTTAGAGTATTCAGCAGATATTAGAGACAAAGGAACCCGAAGTTAGAGCAGTTGCAAAGTAAAATACTTAAGATTTTAGCATTTCAAAAAAGCTAATTCATTACATCAATTTAAATCGTAATTAATTATCTGGGTTTAAAGTTTAATATTTTTTTGTTTAATTGGTTTAAATTAGTTAACTCAATCTTAAGATCTTCGAGACTTTTTTGGTGTGTAGAAGTCCGACCCTGAGGTCTTTAGATATTTACTGCGGAAACCTGCTTATATTTACCATAAGATTCCAGAATGAATCAAATTCATCCGTAGAGGACCACACAAAAATATGGGAGAGTTTTTTTTCTAATGGGATTAACAATTCAAAAGTTTTGATCTATGGCAATAGCAATGGCCGATTAACAACAAAATCATAATATTTTCAATAATATGGAAGAAACTTGAATAGTATTTAACTCTGTTAACTACGCCATTACTTATCTCAAGCAAGAAAAGCGTACGTCACTTTAGTAGAAAAACCACAAATGAAAATAATCCGTTTACAAAAATCTGATTCATACTTTATCAGACAAAGCTTTTAAGGGTACCGTTGTGAATCGGACATTGCCATCTTTTCGTAGAAGGTCACTTGAACTTACGCTAACAGTCCTTTTAAAACTTTTAAATATGTTCTAGTTGGATTCTCTCAGAATCCTGGATTTTAGGAGCAAACTTTCATGATGGAGCCGTTCTTGCAACTTTTCCTTGGGACTTCTATAAGGTTAGTACAGGGTTATTTTTTATTTTTCTTAATCATTAAATAGAAATTATAATATCGAAGGCAAGAAAACCTTTAAATTGTCCTATTTCAAGAGTTTTAGGTTTTCTTTAGAGCCTCATTCTTTGTGGGTAACCCTGTACAACATTTTAACCCTGTACAACATGGTGACCCTGTACAACATTGTATTTTTAAGATTTGGCTATTTCTTCGTTGTTTTTGGGCTCTGCGTTTTAAATTTTTTAAAATTACGTTTTCCATTTAATTCGTTCAATGGTGAACTTTTTAAAGGGGCCGTTCACTTAATAGGGCAATTTAAGGGTAAACTAAATAGCCTATTAGCTATTCATTGGTATTAGTCTTACTTATTGTGGCCTGAGAAAAAGCCGATTTATCATTCAGATTTCCAGCGCAAAGGTATACTACCTTTGCATATTTAGTTGTTGTCGTATAGCAGCAAGATTCTCAATGATGAACAGATCAACAACCGGATAACCCTCTAATCAAAACCGATAATGAAGAAAACTTTTTATTTCCTGAAAAATATTCTATAAATAATAACATATAAGATTGTCACAATAAATGTTTATAATGAAAAGATTCTTACGATCTATTTTGTGATATCAAAGGGTTAAGTCGTTGGACAGTCCTAAAACGTTTTTTTAAACTTCTGAAAAGAATGACAATTAATTATTTACGAAAGTCACTAATTCTTTATATGAAAATATTCTTTGTTTAACTTTTGAAAATGGATGGATTCACAATGCTTTAAGTTATTTACACTCCGATAGGGAGAACAAAGGACCGGAGCCTAAAATTATTTGGTTTGGATTTTAGTGTCTCCGAGAGGGGGTTCTAAGTTAAAGACGACTTTACATGTATCATGGTTAATGGTTGACAATAGTATATACACTATTTGATGCCTTTTGTCATAATTGTGGATTTTTAAGAATTTTCAAATATTAGATTAAACTGTAGTATTTAATAGTAAATTGTAGATATCTTTAATTTTTTTCAGAATTATTCAAAAATTGTATATTTTCAAAATATAACTTATTTTAAACATTTGACAGTTTGATACGTTTTCCCTACTTCTTCCCCAGGAATCTCCTTTGGCTAGATACCTCCTTTGGCTCTCCTTTGGCTAGATACCTCCTTTGGCTCTCCTTTGGCTAGATTCCTCCTTTGGCTCTCTTTTTGGCTCTCCTTTGGCTAGATTCCTCATTTGGCTACATAGTACATACCTCCTTTGGCTAGATATCTCCATTGATATCTCCTCCAGCAACATTTCTCCTCCGGAAACATATCTCTTCCGGCAACATATCTCCTCCGGCAACATATCTCCTCCTGCAACATATCTCATCTAACAACATATTGTTTGTCCCACAGCTCCGATCCAATTAAGCAGTTTCCATTCCTCAATAGACTGACTGCACCTTAGATTACCAATCCTACCACTGTGGAGAGTTGGCGAATTTCTCCATCCTTTCCTTGCGAGAGCTGGTGCGCAGTTAACTTGTCCTTACTCTATTCCCTGTGTTCTAGAAGGGGGGGGGGGAAGGTTTGTGCTTATCTGTCCCAGTAATTTATTTTGCAGAAACCGAGTCAAGCTACTTTTCGTGGGCATAGCACACTCTGTAAACGTCACTAGGCCTTACATTCCATGCAGAAACTACAGTCTGGTTTTCTATACTAGGCTGATTCCATGCAGAAACCCCAGTCTGGTTTTCTATACTAGGCTGATTCCATGCAGAAACCCCAGTCTGGTTTTCTATACTAAGCTGATTCCATGCAGAAACCACAGTCTGGTTTTCTATACTAGGCTGATTCCATGCAGAAACTACAGTCTGGTTTTCTATACTAGGCTGATTCCATGCAGAAACCACAGTCTGGTTTTCTATACTAGACTGATTCCATGCAGAAACCCCAGTCTGGTTTTCTATACTAGGCTGATTCCATGATGGTAACAATATCTTTGAAAGTAAGATAAATACTAATGAAATTAGGCTAATTAGTTTACCATGAAATTATCCAAATAAGTGAACGGTCACTTTAATACAAAATTAATGTTTATACAGGGAGATCAGAGAATAGGAGACCATATAACTGAAGACGATGAAGTGAATAGGTATGTAAACTCAAGGCTCTGTATACGTCCGTATAACTCAAAGATTTGTATTGAACTAATTTATTTTATATACAGGTAAAATCAAACTGACCGTAATGGCCAGTCAGGGTCAACATTGAAATAGATAAGATATATTACTAACATAGATAATAAGAATCGTACTAGACATTACAACAGAAAATGCTACAGGTATATTATTTATAACCTCATGTTTTTAAATCTTTATTTTTCAATTTTGTAAGTCAAATTATCTTGATGTCCTTGGAAATTGTAAATATGAAAAATCACATCAGTTTTTAAACAATTTTTCTCCTATTTTTCGTTTTGACCTGTTTTCGTATATGTTACGGAGTAAAAAATATGCACGATAAAATTGAATGTGTCAAATATCAAAGATTATTGTGAAACCTCTTAAAATTATTAAACGTTTCTTTCAAATTGCCCCCCCCCTCATCCCCATAGTTATAGTAGTTTTTAAAGGTTCTGTAGACGTTAGACCCTCAATTTAAAGAGTGCCATGTTGAGAAACTATTCAAATGGCACCCTTGTGAATCAGTCGTGCCCCTCTTTCAATGGAGAGTTCCTTGAAATAAAGTCTACAATACTTTATTTTTTGTTTAAAGATACATAACTGGTGAATATGCTGATAAACATTTAACCATGACTAATGGATCCGCCTGTGCCAAATATAGTTATCTGGGACCTACGGCTAATGGGGCGGCTTGGTATCCTAAAAATGGAACTTTAAAGGTTATTCATTTTCTATTTCCATTTTTACTCTAACTCAAACTCTAACTCTAACTTTAACATTAACTCTAATTCTAACTCTAACTCTAATTCTAGTTCTAACTCTAACTCTAACTCTAACTCTAACTCTAACTCTAACTCTAACTCTAACTCTAACTCTAACTCTAACTCTAACTCTAACTCTAGGATTTTGGATATATAGTTGGATCAGGCCTGGAGTATGTATTTGAACTCTCCTGCTGTAAGTTTCCCTCTACTTACTTTCTACCAAGAGAGTTTGAGAACAACAGGTGAAATAATATTAGATCATGAAGAATGTTTTCTATTGGAAATAATACAAATAATGATAATAATACATTTAAAAATAAACACAACCGTTAAAAGTTATTACCTTATCGGTTTACAAATTTGTCTTAAAAATTTACAATTTTGGAGAACAATAAAATCATTATACACTACAATACAAAAGAAGGCAATAAATTAAATTTTTAAAGATTCAATTTTAGGTAATCGTAAAAAGATGTAAAAACATAACCTATAATTACATTAAAGTAATTTTTTATTATTAAAAAAGTCCTTACATAACACGAAGCTAAATTTATTTTCTCCAGATTGGTCTGAAAGAACTAAATCTATATAAGGTCGCAAATCAGGATTCTAATAATAATATTCAAAGCAATATCATAATTTGAGGATTACAAAATGGAACTAGTAAAATAACTAAATATTTAAATTTCTTGTTTTTAGAGAGAGCTTACTCGGATTTCTAGAGATTGCTCTGACCGGAGTTCGAGGTCAGCTTCTGGATACTAAAGGTCAACCTGTACCTGGAGCAAATATTGACTTCACCAAGGTATACTAGAGGTCAACCTGTACCTTGAGCAAATATTAATTCAACAAGGTATACTAGAGGTCAACCTGTACCTGGAGCAAATATTAACTTTACAAAGGTTTACATGTTTTATACAAATCAAATAACATTAAAAAAGGCTCATTTTCAAATTTTGATCGTTGTACTTAAAAAGAATTCTCCATTTTTGAAGTGGTATACACGAATATCTAATTTCTAACTATGGTCCCATAAAATGTGACTTACGGATCTATATCTAGCAGATGGAAGAAAGAATTTTTCAGAATTAACCATTTTCCAGATTAAAAACCGGCGATTTCGTTCATATTGTTTCTCAGAAAGGTTTAAATGATTTATAAATGTTTAGAATGAAAAACTTGGTGGAAAGCCGGTAACCTCTAATGGTAGAGGAGAATTCTGGAAAATATTAGGTAAAGAAAACTAAAAGAACTGAAAACTTTCCTCAATCTCCATTTTTCTAATCCTAATTTGCAGCCTAATGTAGTAGATCTTTGTCATTTAAAACCTTACAACTTTTGTTTTGAAAATTGTTAATCTTGAACGCTTGATCTCGATAGGCTAGCTTATATCCTATGTGGACACTTTTAAAGAGATTCACAACCCACAATTTATAACTTCATGTTGCAAAGATATAACGATTAGAAAATCAGAGTTTGAGGCGAGTCTTTAACGTTTCTAACGTTTAAAAACAATCACTAACACATGTTTCTCGTTTCTTGAATTTGTTTTTCAGTACCTGGAAAGTACAGCGTATTGGCAGAATCGGAAAACTGTTTCAAGTCTGATGTTTTAACAATAGATGTCACTAGTAGTTCAGTTAAAACAGTTGAATTAGTTTTGAAAAAATTACCTAACTGCTTGTAAACTGTAATGTGGGAGTTTATATATTTCTTAATTCTCTCGGAAAATACTAATCCGTTTCTTTTCTGGTTTTGCAGATTAAGTTAATTCCTTTCGGGTATCTCCTTAGAATCGACCATTTACAAGCAATATTTAAATTTTTATCTTCATCATTGAGATCTATTTAATCCTCAAATTAAATACTTTTAATCCCTTTTAAAATATAAGTTTCTGCATGATGGATATTAAGTTCAGACGTTGAACTTCTTATTCAACAGTTTAGACCTCGGTTCTTTTTACTTTTATAATTGTGATGATTTAGATTAAATCATAAAATAATTACTGTTATAGTGTTGACGTGTAACAGATTATACTTTGACATTTTTATGTGTTTACTTAAGAAAAAAAAATATAAAACAATATATTGTAGTATATACTGATAGGTACATTTTAGAAAAATTTACAGGGTTACCCACAAAGAATAAGACTACTTAAACTCCCCTTTAATTCTGACACTCTGAAAATTAAACTTCATATTCGGTCTAAGATGATATTTTTTATATGTTTACTAAATGATATTGCTCAGAAAGCAAAAAAATTACTGAACACATTCGTATGGTCGTCTTTAATGTCTCATTTATATTGTCGGTAACCGTATTCACTGCATGCATAATGAAATGGAAAATGCTTGAACAGAATTAATTTAATATATATATATCGTACCTAGAAATCAACTGTAGCTGAACTGATAGGGCCTAATTTACATGACAAATCCAAAGGGCAGGGTTATGGCCAGACTAAAAAAGTTGTTTATTTCTTTTTACAAATCCACCATGGACACAGAAAAAATCTGCGAAATTTTTAGTTTTAAGGTTAATATAGAAAAAATATTAGCATGGAACGCATAATATTAGTTTCATCATTATTTCTAGAAAAGAGGGACTAAAACATAAAAATCTGTTTCTATAGATGTTTGTAAATCACAACTTTTAATAATAATCTTGTTTCCGGAAATCCTAAACTACGTAGTTTGGTAAATCCGGTTTTGAGCACCGTGCACTGCACTGATTGTATGCATGAGTAATTTGTCAGTTAACATTTGATATTCAATACATAGAGAAAACATAACATTGTTTTATCGGCACAGTTAAATAATGTGCTGGAGGAGGGGGAGGGGAGGGGATTTGATTGAACAACATTGTAGTTTATGCAGAGTGTTCTAATAAACATGGGAATTCAGTGACAAATTCGAGATTGTCTTTGTTAAGAAAAAGAAGTGTAATACCCCTGAATACGTCTGTTTTAGGTTATTTTATGAAAACAGTAAAAGTCTGTAATGATGTGTTTGTAATGTCTCTGCAAGATGAACAGTAAACAATAAATGAATTACAAGTTATAAAAAAAACACGATACAATAAAGAGACTTTTTTGTATATTGATCCAATATTACTCAATATTATCTAAAAAAAAAATCAGTGCGCTTTTACCTTATAAAATTACAGGGTGAGTCACGAAAATTTTAAAACTTTCATGCAAAACAGAAGACAAAAGTTACATTTATTTTTGTTTAGTTCGGATTTGATTGAAAAATTGAAAAAGCCTTTAAAAAAAATAAAATTTCAATAAAAATTTGTAGGACAATGATTCATTTGTTGTTTTCAAAAATTTCATAAATATGACAAAGTATCGGCAAAAAATTTAGATTTAAATTTTTTCACATTTTAACGTGAATATACCAAAAATCCAAGGGAAACAAAAATTTTGTAAATTTTGTAGTTTATTCTTAATATTTTTTTTATGTTAGACTTTACGTTTTTTATAAGAAATAGGCCTTCATTTTGTTAATTTAAGCTATAATTTGAGAAAATAAAATGTTTAATTTTTTTATGTTAGACTTTACGTTTTTTATAAGAAATAGGCCTTCATTTTGTTAATTTAAGCTATAAAGGTTATAAACTAATGGTTAAATAAATAAGAAAGTTAATTGTTTGATATCAAAGTTAAGATACTAATTGTTTGTGACTTTGATAAGGAACTGTGTTTAAACAAAAATATAAAGATATACTTCTCATATTTAAACATAGAATACTGGAAATAATAAAAATATTTTTTTAAATAAATTGTTATTTTGAGGTTAGTAAGTTTAAAAGAAAGGATTGTAAGGAATTTATAGAGGGTTGTTAGGAATTATATAAAGGTTTGTGAGGAATTATATATAAAGGTATGTAAAAAATTATATGTAGAGGGTAGTGAGGAATTATATATAGTGGGTTGTGAGGAATTATATATAGAGGGTTGTAAGGAATTATATATAGAGGTATGTATGTAAGGAACTATATATAAGGGGTTGTGAGGAATAATATATAAAGCGTTGTGAGGAATTATAAATAAAGGGTTATGAGGAATTATATATAAAGGGTTTTGAGGAATTATATATAAAGGTATGTAAGGAATTATATATATAAGGGGTTGTGAGGAATAATATATAAAGTTGTGAGGAATTATATATAAAGTTGTGAGGAATTAAATATAAAGTTGTGAGGAATTATATGTAAAGTTGTGAGGAATTATATATAAGGGGTTGTGAGGAATAATATATAAAGTTGTGAGGAATTATATATAAAGTTGTGAGGAATTAAATATAAAGTTGTGAGGAATTATATGTAAAGTTGTGAGGAATTATATATAAGGGGTTGTGAGGAATAATATATAAAGTTGTGAGGAATTATATATAAAGAGGTGTGAGGAATTATATATCGTTTTAATTTCAAGGAATCCTCCATTTTTTTTAGCTTGAAGTGTATAATTCTCACAACTCGATTGTTTTTAAAGCAAAAACATCCGCAAGATTAGATGAAGAAGATCAAGTATATCTTGATCAGACAAAGCTTTAATGGTACCGTTGTGAATCGGATATTTTACTTTATAAATGAAGGACCACTGTAAATTAGGTCTCAAATCACTTTAAAAAGATGTCCAATTCTTTTCCGTAAAATTTTAAAAAGCGAACTGCAACCTTAATGTAAAATTTCAAGGTTTCCAGAAAATTAATTTTGTCTAATTTTAACTTCAAATCGTCTCGGATTCTAAAAAAAACTATTTTAGCCCCTAAAGGGACTGTCGACGTAATGTCTCCTTTCCAAAAGTGCCATGTCTGATTTACAAATGATTATGAATGACCTATCTTTATTCTTTTCTTTAAAAATTGATTGTTTTCCATTGTGATTTCTTTGCCATTTGTGGATTTAAGCTGCAAACACAATGAAGTGTTAGAATTGAAGTTTTCGGAGAGAAAAACGACGATATCTTCAAAAAGAGGGTTAAAAGGTACTCTCGTGATAAATAAAATATTAAAGTTGAAAAAACATTTAAGAAAGAAATAAATCTGACAATTTCGTTTTTGAAATTCTGAAAATTTCGCAAATTTCATGAGAATGTCGTAAATGAACAATCACGTCAGAAATATGACACGTCACAAACAAGATAATGTGCTTTAAATACGCGTAATTATAATCTGTGATTCATGGAAGTTTTTCTTCTTATCTTTTCACATTTTGTAATAAGCACGAGCAATTGTATAAAACAGAGAAAAATGTATAAAATAATTTAAAAATCGTTTTATTTGTTTTAAGGTGCTCTTAATTTGTTTTGAAAAATATTCTTAAAATAAAGTTTTTAAAACTTTTTAGCAGACGTCAACAATAATTGCTGTTATCAGGAAGGTAAGTGAGCTCACTGTACACAGTGTCCACTATCAGTTGGTTTCATTATCATTTATTAATAGGATACTTGGGTGTACAGACACTTTAGTCTAGTTCAGGACACCACAGTTTAATATAGTAGTTTCAGAAATATGTCCTCGAAAAGTCTACTTGAAGTTGAGGTTTGTCATACAGGGTTACACACAAAGGATGAAACTTCATAGACGACTGTACGGAATTTATACCCTATGTATGTTTACTCATATTCATGATTCCTTGCAACTGAAAACTTTATTCTTTCTTTACCAAATCATTAAATAAACCATTTAAATTTGATCGATTTAGGGCAGAAAACATTGTTTAAAGTTGCATGCCGTCTTTGTAGTCTAATCCTTTGCGGGAAACCCTGTAGTATTACAAAATATTAAAGTGACTGTACTCGAGAACTTAAGTGGCCTCTTGATTGTGGCATTTCCAATTCACAATAGAACTCTCTTAAACGTTGTCTGGTCTAGAATCACGGAGATATATCCTTTAATTTTATATAAACAAATTGTGTGCTTTCAAAATCCTGTGACTGAAGGGTTTGTTCATTAATAATGATCAGAAAAAAGTTTACAGGGTGCCGTTGGGATTTAAGAATGCCACTCTTTTAAACTGAGACTCGTTTGAAATTATGTAGATTTACAGTTTCTTTGAACGAAATTAAATTTTATATAAAGGGAGTGACCGGCTATGTAGGGTAGTTGAACATAGTATGCAGTGTTGTGGAAAACTTTTTTCGGATTCATTTGAGACATATTAAACTTTTTAAAGATCTCTAAATCCTGAGTTTGAGCGCAAATTCGACCTTCAAAACTTAATTAAAAAAACTAATTCTGAAAACGTATCCACCCCCAAAGTAGGAGTTTTCATCTACCTTACATAGCCGGTCTGTCCCTTTAAGATTGAAACTAGGCAAACCTTTTTTTGGCAGAACTATATAATAAAGTTTAAAAATTTTAAAATTCTTATTTGAAGATGTATCTAACCAAAATGGATTGATTTGGGACAAATTAAAGTGATGAATTTTAAAACATGTATTTTTATATCTGAGGATTATAAAAATTATAATAACTTTTGATAATTGACCAGTCATTGAGAAGAAAGCTAAAATATTGCTAAAACATTGATTTTTGAAGATATGGTAGTTTAGAACAATTTTAGCTTTAACTGTTCTTTGACCTTTTTTCTTTTGAAACTTTTTGATATTATCCCATCAAAATTCTTATAGACTTACAACATTAATTTTAAATCATATTTTTATTTACACTTTTGAAAACCTAGCTTATTGCTAGCTGTTTTTCTTATCGTGCTATTTTCAGAGTATGACCAAATAATTATTGCTTAGTAAACCAATCTTTATTTTTTTTATCAAACTTGATTTTTTAATAATTTTTTTTTGATATTTTAGACTGCGCCTTCCAGCAGCCGAGCCAGATCCAAAGATGTTGTACAGTACAACATACAGGTAGTTATGTAAGAAAAAAAAAATGTATATATACATTGAATGTATTGAAGCTGAAGGCTAGACAAACATGTTGTATGAGTGAAATGCACCAATATTTATGTACATAGTCAGACAGGGATGTTAAATATGTAGATTATGTACAAAAAGAACGTTTTACATTTGTACAAATATTTACAAATATGTACAAAGGTAGGTAGACATGTTTAATAAGGAACAAATTTTGATAAAAAATTGGGCAGACAAACTGCATGATGATGAATTATGCATTTTATTATGTACACAGTACACATCTTTATGTACTACAGGGTTAGACGGATAATGATGATGAGGGAGGATGTACAAGTGTATATTATTATGTACACATGTTTATGTACAGGGCAAGGCTGATAATGATGATGAGGGAGGATGTACAAGTGTATATTATTATGTACACATGTTTATGTACAGGGCCAGGCTGATAATGATGATGAGGGAGGATGTACAAGTGTATATTGTTATGTACAAATGTTTATGTACAGGGCCAGGCTGATAATGATGATGAGGGAGGATGTACAAGTGTATTTGCTGGTCTTCTAACCTTCGCGTCAATGATATTGATCCTTCTCACATTCCCCCTCTCAGTCTGGATGTGTGTTAAGATGGTTCAGGTGAAACGACATTCTTATAACTAGGAGTTCACCATTTTCTCTAGCTTTCCGGAGGCTAACATCTGATTGTAAAATTAATTTGATTCGTTTTTTTTTCATTCTGCCTGGCTGTATCGACATATTTTTAGACACATTTTCCAAAGTAAAAAAAATCTAAAAAATTTGAAATTATATTGAATCTCTGAGATTTTTTGAACACCCTCTTGAGAGCCAAAATAAACCGGATATAAATAAACCGGATATAAATGAAGAAGCAAAGAAAATACGCCAATTTAGAATATACCAATAGTTCATAGTGTTAAATTCCAAGTCCTGCAATGTTTTAATTTGATTTGAATACTATCATTATTTTTACTTAATATTCAATTATGATTATTTATAATTTCATATAGATAATATTATTTATTATAATTATTACAGGAATATGAGAGAGCAGTTATATTTCGACTTGGTAGAGTTAAAAAAGGTGGAGCTGTGGGCCCTGGACTTTTCTGGATTATTCCATGTATAGATAGTATTCAGGTTAGTGATTAAAGGTCAAGTCAGGTCAGATATTCAAGGTCAAGTCTGGTCAGTGTTTTAAGGTTAAGGCAGGTCAGAGATTCAAGGTGAAGCAAGGTCAGTAATTCAAGGTTAGGTCAGGTTAGATGTTCAAGGTGAAGTAAGGTCAGTGATTCAAGGTTAGGTCAGATTAGAGGTTCAAGGTCGAGTTAGGTCAGAAATTTAAGGTCAAGTCAGCTCAGAGATTCAAGATCAAGTCATGTCAGAGGTTCAAGGTTAAGTCAGATCAGAGATTCAAGGTCAAATCAGGTCAGAGATTCAAGGTCGAGTCAGGTCAGATATTCCAGGTCGCGCCAGGTCAGAGATTCAAGGTCAAGGCAGGTAGATATTCTAGTTCATGTTAGGTCAGAGATTCAAGGTCAAGTCAGGTCAGATATTCTAGCTCAAGTCAGGTCAGATATTTTAGGCCGAGTCAGCTGAGATATTTTAGGTCGAGTCAGGTCAGATATTTTAGGTCAGACTAAATTGAACCACTTTTGTTTGGCTTTACCCGGCTCAAAAGAGAACAGGATGATCTGACAGACCGCGCTTTATCTTGTTATTCATAAAATCTGGTCTCTGACATAATACTATTTCAGGTTGTTGATCTTAGAACAGTGTCCTTTGATGTTCCTCCTCAGGAGATTCTTTCTAAAGACAGTGTTACTGTAGCAGTTGATGCTGTTGTTTATTACAAGGTCAATTGATTTTTGTGCAGTTGCAATAGTTAAACTTTGGCATAATTTCAAGTGAGGCTGCAGTAACACAAACTAAATACTGAAAAGTAAAAGTAGGGTTAGCATTCTTAGACAAGTAAATTTGATTCATAAATGTTTTTTTTTATTAAGTTTCAATAATTAAACGGACCGTCTGCGTAATTTATAATACAATCAGAATACCAAAAAACTAAAAGTAGGGCGAGCAGAGCATTCTTGGACTAAAATATTCTTTAAATTCTTTATTGATTTGTCAAATTTTATACTTAAAATTGATCTTTAAGCTTTAATCTAATTTTTGTTCAGATATCCAACCCTATGGCTTCAGTGTGTAATGTGACCAATGCTAGTCAGTCAACTCGTCTGCTGGCCTCGACAACACTCAGAACTATTCTAGGAACTAAAACTTTACAGGTTGGTAGTTTTAAGAAGATTAGAATAATCATGAAAATTAATTTTCCAGGTTTTTAAGAAGCGTTTTTTAAAATTTATATTGCAAAATAGTTTTTAGAATTTATGGAAAAGGTGGTTTTCGCATAACTATATGTAAACATTTTAACTACATTTTTACTGCAAGCTTTATATTGATAGTTTTTTTTTAGGAAATACTGACTTAAAGAGAGCACACTGCAGCTTCTATTTTGGAGCAAAATTCTGCATGCTTTATATAGATTGTGCTCTTCGGGAAATACTGGAGAGCATACTGGAGCTACTCTCTTGAAGAAGCATGCTCCATGCTTTACGCTTTACATATATTGTGTTTTTCCGGAATAACTGGCTGATAGATAGCATACTGCAACTACTGTCTAGGAGCAGCATGCTGCATGCTTTATACAGATTGTGCTTTTCAGGAAATACTGACTGTAAGAGAGCATACTTCTGCTTCTATCTTGAAGCAGCATGCTGCATGCTTTATACAGATTGTGCTTTTCAGGAAATACTGACTGTAAGAGAGCATACTTCTGCTTCTATCTTGAAGCAGCATGCTGCATGCTTTAAACAGATTGTGCATTTCAGGAAATTCTGGCGGATAGAGAGCATACTGCAGCTACTATCTTGGAGCAGCTTGATGCTGCTACTGATCCATGGGGAATAAGGTCAGCTGTTTTTTCCAAAATTATTTAAGCAAATCAAATTGAACAAATTTGGAGGCCGGTTTAAGATGGTGGTTGTGAACTGTATGAAAGAACATTAATTCTAAATTACTGTAAAGACGGTTCAACCACATATCTTGAATTGATGATTTAAGATTTGTACTCCTATTAATAGTTCAGAGGCGTAGCTCAAATTCAGAGCAATTTTTTGTTTTCTGATTTGTCAATATTTCTGGAAAACTTTAACTCAGACTTTCTATTAAATATAGTTTTATCCGATTTAATTCAAATAAGTTGTTTTTGAGATAAGATGTTTCTAGAGATGTGCATCGTTTTTGAGATTAGATGTTTCTAGAGATGTGCATGGTTTTTGAGATTAGATGTTTCTAGAGATGTGCATCGTTTTTGAGACTAGATGTTTCTAGAGATGGGCATTGTTTTTGAGATTATATGTTTCTAGAGATGGGCATCGTTTTTGAGATTAGATGTTTCTAGAGATTGGCATCGTTTTTGAGATTAGATGTTTCTAGAGATGGGCTTCTTTTTTGAGATTAGATGTTTCTAGAGATGTGCATTGTTTTTGAGATTAGATGTTTCTAGAGATGGGCATCGTTTTTGAGATTAGATGTTTTCTAGAGATGGGCATCGTTTTTGAGATTAGATGTTTCTTGAGATGGGCGTTTTTGAGATTAGATGTTTCTAGAGATGGGCATCGTTTTGAGATTAGATGTTTCTAGAGATGGGCTTCGTTTTTGAGATTAGATGTTTCTAGAGATGGGCATCGTTTTTGAGATTAGATGTTTCTAGAGATGAGCATCGTTTTTGAGATTAGATGTTTCTAGAGATGGACATCGTTTTTGAGATTAGATGTTTCTAGAGATGGGCTTCGTTTTTGAGATTAGATGTTTCTAGAGATGGGCATCGTTTTTGAGATTAGATGTTTTCTAGATGTTTACACTGTATAGATTAGTTACGCCGTTTATGAACAACTTTAAAGTTGGTACAAACAAACTTAAAAAACAATTGATTTTACTAAACAAAAAATCTCACTTAACAAACGTTCAGTTAGAAAATTACCGAACGAATCAAAAAAAGCCAAACAGGCCCATCTCAAGGACCAAAATTATAAATACATTTTTTTGAATTTTAATTGTTCTAAATCTCAGGGTTGAAAGAGTTGAGGTTAAGGATGTCAGGCTTCCTCAGCAACTACAAAGAGCAATGGCAGCAGAAGCAGAAGCTACTAGAGAAGCTAGAGCTAAGGTTTGTAACAACAATAACGTTCCTATTTGCTAACTAACATTATCAGCATAGGAAGTCGACTTTTGTTATCCCCTGTGTTTCTTTTAAGCTGTCCCAGAGTCTAAAAAAACTGAATTTTGTTTATATTTAAAAAAAGTATTTTCATATTCCATTCTTTTTGAAATATAATAAGAATTATACTTAATAAAAGAAATTATATTCGACTTTAGTTGGCCAAGATTACAATGCCAGACTGTGTATTTTTTCTAGATTATTGCAGCCGAGGGAGAACAGAACGCCTCCAGAGCTTTGAAAGAAGCTTCTCTCATTCTTAGTGAATCCCCTACAGCTCTACAGCTTAGGTACAGTATATATAGACATTTATTCCTCCTTTCATCCATCCTTTCATCATCACTTCTTCATCCTTCATTCATTCATCATTCATCAATAATAACTTGACGAAAATTTATGCAAATAATAATTTAGATACCTGCAAACCCTAAACAGTATTGCTGCCGAGAAAAACTCGACAATTATCTTCCCCCTACCTATGGAACTCATGGGAAAATATATGTACAATCAGAACCAACAGATGTAGAAGACGACTTACATATAAAAATGATAAGAAGACGACTTCTAAATGAAAACGATTAGTAGACGACGTCCATAATAAAATGATTAGAAGACGACTTTATATTAAAAAATTCAGAAGACGAGATTTGCTTTTCTAGAAGTCAATCCTACAATGTAGACTTAATTTTTACTGACTCTTCATATGTTTGAGTAGTAATGATGAAGCTTTAGTCGGTTTACTATCTTAAAACGTCATTAATTGGGAAATTTACAATTAAAGTTTATCTCATTCATCCTTGATCAGCCAAAGGTTTAGATGGGACCGTTGTGAATCCGACATGTATGCACTCTACAAATAGATGGTCACAGAAAACAATGTCTTCAGTCTACTTCTAAATGTATGGAACGACTTTGATTTTAACAAATCAAAATATAGATAAAATCTTTTAGTCCGTCCTAACCATATAAAAAGAAAAGGACAACTCATAATTATTCCTCAACTTATGTTAATTTTAAAAAGAAATTGATTAAAAATTGAAATATGTTTTGTCAAAATGTATTATAAATAAAACAATTTTAATTCTGTTTTTTGTTGTGATTTTTTCAAATTACGAGATTTTAGACGTCTTTCATGCTGTAACGTTGACTTTAAAATGTGAAAAGGTAAGGCCTCCCTAATTTAATTAATTCATTGATTTGTAGTTTTGAAGAACATGACTTAACCCTATCCCGATTGGGCTATTTTGTCTAATATGGATGGGGGGGGGGGGGGGTTCCACCCCTCCTATGATTTTGCCCTTAGAGTTGAGAGAGGGGAGTGTATGATACGTGTCCATTGTCCAACTTTTCAAGGACTGCTCATAAAAAAATTAGACATTTTACTTTAATGGTTAGGGTGCAAGGGAGGATTACAAAAAACGATATGTTTACGTAACTAACACTGGAGTACACTTGTGTATCGTAAAGCTATTTGCTTTGTAACAACATCACATTCACTTATAGACAGTATTGCTTGCATTTTGTCTTTTTATCCCAAAGAGTTTTGGTTCTCACTGTACAGTCACGGGCAGCCGCAGTACATGAGAATTTCCGAGCCGTGTCAAACTTTCCGGTCCCAGTTTGTACTGTACCTAGCTCTATGAACAGGACTAGCCGGTGCAACAAGGTTGACGCGGTCAGACTTTACGCTTCATATAGGTTGAATTTACTTTTACTAAAGGGGCAGATTTGTGTGCAGTGTACCCCTACTCTATTATAGTTGAAAATCAATACCACAAATATGCCCTGTATTAATATTTATGAATCTTGATTAAGGTGCTACACCTACACAGATCTCGGAAATGCATGACAGGTTGTCAGAGAATTGATTTTGGGAAAATGAAATAATTAAAAAAAAAGTTTTTTCTATAAAAAGATGTTCCAGGGCCTATAAGGTTATATAGCACAAATGTTTGAAGTACACTTGCATTATGGAAACAGTACAATAAATTGGCTGTTTACACTTAATTTTCGAGTTAATTTCACTCTTACTAATATATTCTCTTTGGGTGCGTATTCAGCAGGTCTCAATTATTTGAGTAGTTTGTTGAAAATATTTTCATTTCATTTCATTTTTTAAAAAAGTTGAAACGATACATCCCTAAGTGTGAGTCACAAGGAAGAGCGTGTGAAGGGGGGGGGGTAATTTTGTTTGTCGCTAAGTGAAAAGTATAATGCATCTTTCTATATATAGATACTTAGAAAACAATTAGAACAAAATCTTTTTTTGTTTTTTAACCCGGAAAATCTCTTCTAAAAGTTTTGAACAGGGAAATTTTTGAAATACTTAAATTTTTTGTATCTCACTGTATTAGATATTTTATTGTATAAGCTGACCAGTAGGGAGGGGACAGCGGTCAGTTTAGTTTAAATATCCGATACAGGTTCTCGTTAGTTAACAGATAATATAGATAATATCCGATACAGGTTCTCGTTAGTTAACAGATAATATAGATAATATCCGATACAGGTTCTCGTTAGTTAACAGATAATATATATAATATCCGATACAGGTTCTCGTTAGTTAACAGATAATATAGATATAGTTAACAGATAATATATAGATTAAAGAGACTGTAAACGTAATTCTAAGTGATATTTCATAATCACATTTATAGAGTTATATGTCTGTTTCACAATCGTACCCTAGCTTTGTATCATCAAGAATAAATATATCCATGTTTTCAACTTTTAAATTTGATTAATTTTAATTCTGGTTTCTCCATAAAAGTTAGGCATGTCCCCTTTGAAATGGAGGGTCACTTGACATACGGCAGCCCCTTTTTATCGGGGGTGGCGATGCACGCTTGATAAGATTTTATCTACAGGGTTTACCACAAATATTAAGACGAAGTTGCAACATTCAACTCGGATCGTAAAATAATCAGTTTAATTTCAAACAAATCATTCAGATATTACAAACAATATTCAACGATTATTTTAGAAGCATTCGTATAAAGTTTATATCTCATAATATTTTTTATTTTTATTTTTTTAATAATATTACGCTGGCGCTGGATTTTCGAACATTCCTGGAAAATGTGAAAATGACGTCTTCATTATCAAAAATCCTTGAAACAGGAATAATATCAACTATATACGAATGTGTCGAAGAATAATCGATGATTATTGGTTGTAATATTTAAATGATTTGTTTGAAATTAAATTGATTTTTTACGATCCCAGTCGAATGTTGCAACTTTCTGAATTTGTATGGACACTATACGTCCTTCGGTATGAGTCGTTTTTAATCATTTTCTCCTTATAGACGCAACAGAGAGAAGTAAGATTAGTAGCGATCAAAAGCGCTTATTTTTCGTTGTAAGCCTTTAATTTTTCGTGAACACTCCCTTTAATTGTTAAAACATTCTCAGAGGTGAAGTTTCCACAATTATTTTTGATAAATTTTTGTTGTTTAAAGAAGGGGAGGGGGGAGGAAGAGTTGAATTCAACTCCCCCCCTTCTGAAAATATTTTCATAAAAAGCGCGCTTCTGAAATATTTTAGAAAAAGAAAATTGTTTTTGAAGTTTCTTTGTTACACTTAGGAATATCATTGACTGTTTTTTTTTGGTTGACAGAAAATAAAGATTCAAAATCACATGCTATGTCAGAAAACTGAGATTTATTAAGTCGTTAAAGACTTTATTGCAGTGCCCTGGATTTGTTGCATTATGCAGTTTTATATTTCAGGTCATCTCGTGAATGGACAGAAAAAGATCTTTCCAGAAGAAAATGGATTTCACGACAAGGAAAATTGAACATATAAGTAAAACTTTTTTTACAACCATGGAGGTCAATATCTAATTGTGAAGGGTTGAATCTACAATGGTGGATCTCGATATCCGCTGTAGAAATTTTTATTTTGAGAAACTGAAACTTTTGATGTAACTTTAAACGTACACTCTTAAACTTTGTGAGAACATTTTCAGACTAATTACATTTTTTCTTCTTTAGATTCACCTTTTTGCTATTTTTTTGTAGAACTAAAATACCTAATTTTCTACTATTTTGGATTAAAATAACATTGCACAAAAAACTTTAATTTTAAACAAAAAAGATCAAAGTTGTAAATTATTAAACAACGAGAAGTATTTTGTGTTTTTTCGGCTTTAAATTTGCAACTTCGCCCTTTAACTCTTTAAATTCAGTTAAGGAATTACAACGATTAGTGTACCCTTAAGGAATTAAGGGGCGGGTGGGTTAATAAGGAAAGGAAGTGGGGGTGATTAAAAAGTTGAGAAAATGTGAACTATTTGACAACAAAAGGTATTTTTAGAAAAACTGCATTTTTCTTACTTAGTAACAGCTTTTCTTGCAAATAACAAAGATAAAACAGAGAAATTGTAAAATCCTGAAAAAGCAGTGTTTTTTTTAAATGTTGAAATTTTTTTTTATCCATTTATAAATTTTTAATTTTTAATAAAACATTATGTGACTCTTGAGATAGAATCTTTAACAATACGCTAGTTACGCGTAGGATGTTTTGTAGACAAAATTGGTCAAGTAGTTATACCTTTTTTCCACTGTAATACATTTTTCAACTTTATACCTTCTTTTCAAGTGTTCTATTTCTGAAGGTTTAACCGTTGCAAAACCCCCTCCGGGGCAGTTCCCATCTCAGTCATCATGGGATTCGATTATCCTCTGGAGTATAGGGTAGGTTTTTTCTCTCAAAAATTCGTGAAAACATTTCAATTTATGATTAATTGAACTGTAGTTTTCGTCATATATATCAATGAAGACGTTTTTCTATTTCAATTTTGATTTCTATCAATTTTAAACAGCTTGGAAACAAATAAAATGAAAGCAAAGAAAAGTTGTCAATTAATTGATTCTTTAATGTTTACTTGTAACCGTGTGAATGAAAAAAACTTGTTGAAAATCAAAACCTAAATAAAAATGTCGTCTTTAATGTATTGATATAAACGCTAACCTATGTAGCTTAATTTTCATTTGTTTAGGGGTGCAGTGGCAGAGGGGAGGGGGGAATGAGTGATTTCACTGCCCAAAGGTAGAACATATTTTACAGGGTTTATCGGGACACCCTGTATCATAGTTTTCGACAAAATACAACTTTAGAGATTATATTTGACTTTATTTCTACAAAAACATTCGAGAAAAGACATTTATCCGCCAAATGATTTTATTAGCAAGAACAATTTTGATTTAGAAGAACGACCTTTAGGTTCAGATCTTGGTATTAAAAAAGCCATGTTTTTATAAAATATCTTTAAACCCTTTTTCGGAAACTATAATTTTCCACGACGAAGATGAGTTTCAATCCCTTACATATTTTGTAACTAACCCATTAAATTAAATTTTAGTTTTTCGAACGGAAATTCTGATTATTCAAGCAAAAAAATACAGAACAGTTTAAGCAGCTACAGAAGCAGCAGAGACCAAGAAACAAGGAGCTCCAGAAATCTGTATGAAAGCAGCGAAATTGAAAACACAAGTAGCTCCCTTGAACGATATGGCAGCAGTTTGTCACGAAATAATTTTGAAAACAACTCCAGAAGCTTGAATGGAAGCAGTGGAATCGAAAACACAAGGAGCTCCGTCGAACGATACGGGAGCAGCAGCTCCAGAAATAGATATCAAACATATCAGTATCCAAGTCAGACCGAACCTATAAGCAAGGTAATAATTTAATCAAAATATTTATTATTACTTAATAGCGCCGCGCCTACTTGCTACTTATATTTTTCAGTGTTAATTTTTTCCTTTATGACATAAGCCAAAGAAACTGAGTTTATGCTATTAAGCACTAAAAGTTTCAAATTTTATGATTTTTGCAATATCAACCAAAATTTATGATTATTGCATTATCAACCAGATTTTATGATTGTTTGAATATCAACCAAAATTAATAATTTTTGCAATATCAACCAAAATTTATAATTGTTGCAATGTCAACCTAAATTTTTTATTATTGCAATTTCAACCATTTATGATTATTGCAATAGCAACCAAAATTTATGACTATTAAAATATTAGCCAAATTTTAAGATTCTTGTATGTAGTATCAACCAAATTTTAAGATTCTTAGAATATCAACTAAATTTTTATATTCTTGGAATATCAACTAAATATCATTCTGTTAAAATATCAACAAAATATTATTATGGTTAAAATATCAACCAAATTTTTTGATTGTTAAAATATAAACCTAAGCATTTGGTTAATAAAAACTTGGTATCCTTAAAACACACTAGTGTCAACAATATTAGATATCATTAAAACTATATTATATCAACACTTTATGCACATACTTATAAACCGTTTGTGTTTAATCTTCATGACAGAAACAATCTCAAGGAATAATATTTTTTTTTAAACATTCTTTAGAAATTGAATATTTGCAAATGATCTTTTTTTCAATATCATGATCTGAGTTCGTTTCCCTTTTGTTCATTTGACGGCCCATTTTATTTTTTCAATAATCTCTTTTGTCTATTTATTTTCTATTTATTTTCTATTCCATTTTGTTAATTTAACATTTTTTATTATCGATTTTGATGGTTATTATATCGTTAGAATTGATGAGGGTCAACCCAGATCGAAATATATTTTCGAAAAAATTTGAAACTAACATGTATTTTTTTAATCTACAGAGGTTTGGTCCATCACCATCACCGAATTTTAATCATACTAAATATCTACTATTAAAACTATATTATATTAAATATTTACTAATAAAACTATATTATATTATATATCCACTATTAAAACTATTAGATATCTACTATTAGAACTATATTAAATTAAATATCTACTATTAAAACTATATTATATTAAATATCTACTATGTCTAATGAATCTGTAGTTTGACGTAATAAACCTAGCAGCTGAGAAAACATATTCCAACCTAGGTAAAGATATTTATTATTTATCCTTATATTTATTTTTTAAACTCATTTGTCAATATATTCCTGTCGACTCCAAAAGAGTTTCTCAGTACAATACACTTAAAACAGGGGTGTATACTGTACAGATCTAACTATGAATGGGATTGAGAGTAGGCTTACAAGAGCACAAACTCAGGTTGTATATTTATTTTTAATATTTTATTTCTTAAAATTTTACAATCTATATGATATAAGACAATCAAATATTGTTCTTAGTGTTAAAGGATTTGAGTCTTTCCCCACGTGGATTTAATGGTTCTGTCAATATTCCAGAAAGCTGTGACTTTCGATCACAATTTGACCCATTAAACATAATGTGTTAGCCTTAGTCTTAAATACTTTTTGTTGGCATATGCATTTTGAATAAAAATGTTTAAAATAAACAAATCCTTAAAGTAAATGATTATTGAATTTAAGACCAAAACACGTTTGATTTCAAATAGAAGAAACCGAGAAGCTGCTCACTCTGGTTAGTCCGGGGTGTGCCACAAACTCTGATTTTCTAATCCCTATAGGCTTCTAATCCAATGGCGTATGACATTAGATATTTCAAACTATGAATTATGTTAAATCAAATAATCCAAGTTTGAAATATCAAAGGGTTACACCTTCCGGTCGCAGAGATATAGGGATTAGAAAATTTGAGTTTGTGGCAAAAACTCAGTTCCTTTATTTCTTAATTTCTACTTTTCTTTCTTACTTTTAGGATTTATATTTAAAGGGAGTGCTCGCGAAAAATAAAAGGTGTTTCAGCCTATTCCTTCGCGAAAACTGCCTTGAATGTTTTATCTAATTACCAGAATTCCACGCTTACGTACCTTTTTACTTAAAAAATGATAATCAATAATAAAAGAGTTTGGTTAAATCTATAAATACAGTTTGTTGGTATGCAAAAAATGTCAAAACGGCTGAACCGATCACCGAAACCGAAAAATTCGCAAAATACGATTTAAAAAGAAAAATGGCAGCTTGGAGAGTAACGGTTATCGGCTAAAACGGCATGAAACACAAGTAGTAATATGCGTAATATTAGGGAGAAAGAAAAGCAGAAATATGCGTCCAAATGCATTTTTTTCTTTTCTACAAGGGATTAGAATCTAAACAGAGAAAGAACAGAAAACAGATGTATGATCAGCTAAAAAGAAGAAGATAGTCAGAGAAAAAAATCACTGCTCTTTTTAAATTTTGTATAACAAAATTTTAATTTTAAAATAATTGTTGAAAATAGGTATATAAAGTATTTAAAATTAAATATATAAGATGTATAAGTATATGACCAATTTTCAATATGTGTTCTATTGATTGATTTTTTACTTTTTAGGCTCGTGAAACCTTAAATTCATCCAGGGAAAGATATATTCGCACATCCGACTATAGGTGAGTCGACAATCACATAAAGGATAATTCAAGTGACCCTCCATGCAAAGATGTCAATACCCTGTTCAGACCGATACCCAATTAAAGGCTTTGTCTATTTAAATATGAATTTTAATTCTTTAAACTGTTCTTGCTTATTTCTTGCTTATCAGAATTAAACATTTTTTGAGTCAGAAAAGACTCTATCTTCTGCATTTTAAATCAGATAAAAGTTTTAAGGGTATTGTTGTAAATCATGCATTGTCATCTTTGCATTATAGGGGTCACTTGAAATTAAGCCTACAGTCCCTTTCAAGAACAACGATCATGTTCATATTGTCATTGATAATTTATGGTTCAGAGAGTGTGTCCGGATTGACACTGTATAGTAAGTGTTATTGATTAGCCTTGTAGACCAACGAGGGGGATTGAGTTATACCTGGATTGATACGGCTCTAAACGGATTTATTGGAGTGGGGCATTTACTACAGATAGCATTTCTTTACAGAATATATTGATAACAGAAATTCGTGTCCAACTTTCAGATTGGCATAATGAACAGTTTTTAGGTCGTCGTTGAAGTCCCATTCTATTTCAGTAACCATTTATTTTCTCTCTGAGTTCCCTTGCAAGAACATTATTAGACTCAATTTCAATATTGACCCTTTATCATAGACTGTTGTGTCCGATTCAGAACTCTACCCTTAAAAGCTGTATTTAATCAATATAATGTGAAAATATTGTATTAGAGAAACCACAATGGGAAATTATCAATGTTCAGATAGAATTATAACGATACCTTTATTATTTATAGGTTTACAGGGTATATTTATTATTTATAAATCAGGCATACCCCTCTAGTTCATCATCGGATATTTCGTTCCCAGTCCCTAAATAATAGCATCCTTGTATTCTAATGTCTGAACAATCCCTTTATGCTATAATATTTTACAGAGAGCATCCTAAACAACAGCCCTGTAGATATACAACAGCTCTTTCAACATATTCAACAACAACACCCCCCAGTAGATATATCAGGTATACAGTTTACAGGATATACAACAGCTCTTTCAACATATTTAACAACAACACCCCCCAGTAGATATATCAGGTAGGTATATAGTTTACAGGATATACAACAGCTCTTTCAACATATTCAACAACAACAGCATCCAGTAGACATGTCAGGTATATACAGTTTACAGGATATACAACAGCTATTTCAACATATTCAACAGCAACAGTAACA